TTGCGGAATGCCATGCAGTTGCGGCGAGTCGTCGCATAGTGTAGATTGTAACTCCTATTGTCAGGACTTGTTTGGATCAGCTATCCATTGTGATTTTTAGACAGCCTACAAGAGTATACACACACACATATTATACTAAGAGAGAGTATACTTATATATACATATATACTAAGAGAGAGTATATATATATACACACATATATTATACATATATAAGAGAGTGTATACTTATATATACTTATATAAGAGAGACTATACATATATAAGAGAGAGTATACTTATATATACATGTATAGTATAAGAAAGAGTATATATATACATACATACATACATTATACATATATAAGAGAGAGTATATATACACACACATATCATACATATATAGAAATATATTATATATACATATATTATATATATACATATATTATACATATATAAAAATATATTATATATACGTTGACGGTGTAGAAGGAATGGACCAGGGAGACAAGGAGACAAGGCGACACGACAGGAGTGAAGGTGAGAAGACAACCCAGGCGGCGGCACACATCGCGAGCAGACGAACGGTAACATTTATCAATGGTAAACTCACCGTATCTCCCCCTTTTTCCACCCCTGCGTCTTCCTCCAACTTTTCTCCTCACCAAGCCTCTTTTTTCCCCCTCTCCTTCAGCCGTTAAACCCTAACCCTAAATCATCCTTTTCCTTCCGCCAATCTCACCTTCATCTACCTCCAAAATAACCAGCTTTCGTCGATCTCTTCAAAAGACCTAAGCCTCAGGCTCCCTCATCTTCCAAAGGTATCCTCCCCTTGCTCTTTCGTCGATCTCTTCAAAAGACCTAAGCCTCAGGCTCCCTCATCTTCCAAAGGTATCCTCCCCTTGCCGGAGGAAGGGTGGACTACGGTTTCTTACAAGAGGTTCCCAAAAAGGGCGAGGAACCCTAGTCCCTCTCCTCTTCCGCCCCCTTCTCTCAAAACCCCTAGGTGTTTCTTCTGTGGGAGTAGGGAACATATGGCCAAATCTTGCTCTTTAGGGGATTTTAAATGTTTCGCATGCAACTTGGTAGGACATACCTCCCTGTGTTGCCCTAACAAAAGTCAGCCTCATCCTCATAACATCCTCCCCCCATCCTCTAAAAGTCCTTCCTTTCGCCCTCCTCCTCTCTTCATCCCTAATGTCCCTCTCCCAGATTCGGTGGTTAAAAGTATGAAAGACTTCTCCTTATATGCTCTCTTCCAGATCAAAGAGGGAAATCCATCTTATGTGGATCTTATAGCTAATCTCGAGCGCTATCTTAAAATCGATGAATGGAAAACAGTTGTTAGAAAGTCCTCCTCTTCCTCCTACTTCATCCAATTCCCAGATGCAGAAACTATGGACTATGCTTGTTCCAAAGATTTCTTCAACATGGGTTCTTTTGGAGGCTCCTTCCCCCCTTGGAAGGAAAATTCAGATCTGAAAGTCTTGCCGAAATTTGTGTATGTCTGGGTAGATATCCTCGGTCTTCCAATTCACCTTTGGGACTCAGAGTTTCTATCGTCTCTTCTGAATGAAGTGGGTGAAATTATTACCGTATCGAACGACATTATGTTCAAGAGAGAGGCTTCGGCATGCAAAGTCATGCTTTTTGTCAGGAATCCAGCAGAAATCCCCTAAGAAGTCATCTTTAGGTATGCTTCCCCAGACAATATTCATATCATGGAAGGGAAAATCAGGTTAATGCCAAAACACAAATAAACAATATGATCATGGAGTTCGGTCAACCCTCGACCTACGTCTATGTTCCTCAGCCCGAGGAGATTCTCCACTATCAATCATAAATACTACACAACCGGTTTTCAAAGCTCACTAAAAACTTTTACAATCGACATGTTGACAATCACACAATATACTTCTCTAATTGTTGGCCGACCTATGTCACCTTTCTCAAGTGCTTGAAATTACTACCTCACCCTAGGCTTTTACAACCAAGCCACTTCTCTCGGAATTGACCCCGTTCTTCTCCCAACTATTCCTCTAAGTGTCATTGTGTATTACAATGTGTTCTCAATAATTAAGTGCAAGTAAATGATTTTGTTCTCTAATACAAATGAGAACGAAAATGAAAACTCACCTCAATGATCACACTCACAACCCAATAATATTGTATGTGAAATACTTAAGCTCAAATGGTTGTGTGTGTAAATAATGAACAATAACATAATTAAACTCAATTCTATCTAGCATAAAAATATGAGAATCAAAATATAAGATTAGCTAGAAGAAAAAGTTAGAAAAACTTAACTAAAAGACAAAGAGTTGTAGATGATGATTTTGAGGTTGAACTCCTTAAAAATGAAATTTTGATTCTCCTCTTTGTAAACTCTCTTTATCAAACAAACAAACACTTGATTCCTTGTTAAAAATGAGCAGCCAAAATAGCTTAAACACACTTATGAAACACTTAAAAAACTTGGCTCAAAAATGAGCATTTAGGGGTATATATAACCTCTCAAAGAAAATCTGTCAAAACTAGCCGTTACAGCCAAAATTCATTATCGGTCAACTGATAGGTTGAATCGGTCAACTAATAATCCGACCGTTGGCAAAATCCAGAACAATATCGGTCGACTAATAGGCTGTTCGGTCGACTAATAAAAAATAATTGACTGAGTAGAAACAAAACTTGAAATTGCAGAGCAGTTTATCGGTTGATTGTTATGAACAGTTGGTCGACCGAAAACGTGCACATCACATTTTCTACTGAAAAAAACTGATTTTGTAAAATTAATTAAAAAAACAAATTAACTCCAAAAAATTGTAAAACTTGGGGGAATGTTTATATTTATGAAAAAAACATGTTAAAGAAGAAATTATTTAAAATAGCATTTTCTATTTGTGAAAACTTATCATTTTGTAAAATGTTCAAAATACGGGGTCATTAACACTTGATTTTGATGAAATCATTCCAAACAAGTTTTGAAACACTTTTCAATAGATTAATAGACTTAAGTAAAGATATAAAATAGTGTTAACAAGTCTTTAATCTATAAACATATTATTTTCCAAATAAAGATGATAAATATGAAACAAGTATATTTGTATATTGATATAACTATTTGTTTCATATTTTATACGATTTAACTTGAAAGCTATAAAATAAAAACGTGTATGTGTGTAATATTTGAGCCTTTAAGTATAATTACACGAAGTATAAAAACTAAACTAGAAACTATATACCCAAGCTAAAAAGTATTCGTTAAACCTGTTCTTGGTAGAGGAATGAAGCGTGATATTGGATCTTTGACTTGAATGTGTAAAGGGCTTCAATCCAAATTATGCCAACATCTATTAGATATCATTGTGAAGGCGCAATTCCATCCAACCTCCAAACTAGAATCTTTGTGTAGGATTTCAAACAAGTAAATACAAACACTCAACAAACGATGTTAGGAATTGTTTGTTAATAATCAAAATTAGATTATACAATAGGCACATAAACATAAGACCTAACAATAATTCCTATATCTCAATGTTTTGCATGCAACTTGGTAGGACATACCTCCCTGTGTTGCCCTAACAAAAGTCAGCCTCACCCTCATAACATCCTCCCCCCATCCTCTAAAAGTCCTTCCTTTCGCCCTCCTCCTCTCTTCATCCCTAATGTCCCTCTCCCAGATTCGGTGGTTAAAAGTATGAAAGACTTCTCCTTATATGCTCTCTTCCAGATCAAAGAGGGAAATCCATCTTATGTGGATCTTATAGCTAATCTCGAGCGCTATCTTAAAATCGATGAATGGAAAACAGTTGTTAGAAAGTCCTCCTCTTCCTCCTACTTCATCCAATTCCCAGATGCAGAAACTATGGACTATGCTTGTTCCAAAGATTTCTTCAACATGGGTTTCCAAAGATTTCTTCAATATGGGTTCTTTTGGAGGCTCCTTCACCCCTTGGAAGGAAAACTCAGATCTGAAAGCCTTGCCGAAATTTGTGTATGTCTGGGTAGATATTCTCGGTCTTCCAATTCACCTTTGGGACTCAGAGTTTCTATCGTCTCTTCTGAATGAAGTGGGTGAAATTATTACCGTATCGAACGACATTATGTTCAAGAGAGAGGCTTCGGCATGCAAAGTCATGCTTTTTGTCAGGAATCCAGCAGAAATCTCCTAAGAAGTCATCTTTAGGTATGCTTCCCCAGACAATATTCATATCATGGAAGGGAAAATCAGGTTGAGGGTGGTAGGTAAACCTCTCTCTTCATCCCAAGGTAGCTGCAGAGATCAGTATGAAGCTTTCATTCGCAGCGAAGGAGGCTGTCCAAATCTTCCGATTGAAGATCCTCTAGTTTGTCCCTTCCAGCCAGTCTATCCAGCAGACAACCGTGCAATCCAACACTCGTCTTTACCTTTGCCAGCAGATCCGAAAGGTAAAAGTCCTATGGTTACAGAGGCTCCTTCTCCTCCAGTCACATCCCCCCTGCAGTGGTTGAGAATAACCCAGATTCGGTGGAAGTGCTCCTTAAAGGAGCTAAGGTCACTATTGACATATCTTCATGGGAGCTGTTTAAATCAGTCTTCGCTCCGTCAGATTATGTGCTGATAGATCCCCCTACCTTAGAGGGGGAACAGGTGATTCCTTTATCCTCTTCAGACTCGGTGGACAAAGCATCTTCATCAGATCCCCCTCCTGGTTTTGAGTCGGTAAGGCATCGCTTCAATAACTCAAAGAAGAAAGCTAAGCGAGGACCCTTGCCCATCCTTCCTCTGAAAATGCATCAGGCTCTTATGAAAAGGAGCAAACCCTCAGGTAACTCTAAGAGTAAATCGTCTTCTTCTGCTTCTACGAGGCCAATTCAAACAACTAATCTTGAAAGGTTGGGTGAGATTGCTATGAACTGTGGAGTTAAAGAGCCAATTGATGTCCAAGAGTTAATTAATATCCAAAATCTTGAAAGTAGTGGTTTTATCCCGTCTTGATAGATTGTCCTTCTCTAAGTTGCTTCTTCCCTCTTTATTTTATAATGAAATTTGGATCCTGGAATGTGAGGGGGTTAAACAACCCTGCAAAGCGTAGATTGGTTAAGGATTGTTTGAAGTTTGCTAAAGTAGATCTGGTGGGTCTTCAAGAGACCAAACTCAACTCTTCTAGAGTCAGTTTTCTTAGATCCCTGGGAAGTAGTTCTATCTCCTCTTGGATCTCTCTAGATGCATCAGAGTCCAGGGGAGGGGTTCTTCTAGGTTGGAATGATAATATTTTCTCTTGCTCCTCCTCATCAGTTGACATCTTCTCTGTTGCAGCTATTCTTACTCATTCCCCTTCAAATTGGACCTTTGCAGTCACCTCAGTTTATGCTCCTTGTGACCCCTCAGACAGAGAGGTCTGTTGGTGGGAACTTAATAGGACCAGGTCTTCTCATCCTCATCCTTGGGTAGTTTTCGGTGACTTTAACATGACCCTCAGTTTGTCAGAAAGGAGTGGCCGCTCAGGTTCCATCAAGGACATAGATACCTTCAAAAACCTTGTCGCTTCCCTTCATCTCTCTGATCTGCCTCTCAGTGGTAGAAAGTTCACATGGTCTAACTACAGATCATCTCCTGTGCTACCAAGGTTGGATCGTTTTTTAATATCCTCAGATTTTGAGTCAAAATTTCCTCTCTTAATCCAGTATGCTTACCCAGCTCCGTGCTCTGATCATTGTCCCATCATTTTAGAGACAAATTCCCATCAACCCCTCCCCTTGTTCAGGTTTGAGAAATTCTGGCTCTCTATTCCTTCTTTCAAACTTTTTATTCTAGATTCATGGGGTTCTTTCTCTTCTCATGGGTCTTCTCCTCTTACCCTTCCTTTCAAGATCAAACTTATCAAGAGAAGGATGAAGTGGTGGAAAAAAATTGCCTTAGATCTCAATTCCACCTTTATGCTTCTCTATCGGAGCAGATTGATGCTCTTAATCTGTGTGAAGAATCCAGAGCTCTATCTTTGATGGAAATTCAGTCTAGGAGCTCAATGAAAGATCAACTCCTAGCGCTAGCTCATGCTGAAGAAGTTAAATGGAGACAAAGATCCAGGATTAAGTGGTTAAAAGAAGGAGATAATAATACCAAATTCTTCCACAATTATGCTTCCCATAGAAGGAGAAAAAACTTCATTCCTTATCTTATCAGTAATGGTTCTATCATCTCAGAAGATGTTGAGATTAAAAGATCTTTTTTTGAATACTTTTCAAACATCTTTCAGCAGCCACCTCAATCCAGACTGAGCTTGAACTGGTCTGTTCTGTATCCAGGAATCAATCCTGTTTTATCATCCTTAGATCTCCCCTTCTCTTCTAAAGAAATCAAAACAGCAGTTTTTAGTCTTCATCCTGATAAGTCTCCAGGGCCTGATGGTCTTCCATTATCTTTCTACTAAACCTTCTGGGATCTTATAGAGACGGATGTTACTGTTTTTTTCAAAAAGCTTTTCTCCAATCCTCACTCTCTTCAAGATATCAACTTCTCTTATATCTGCCTCATCCCAAAAAAAGATGGTGCAACCTCTCCTTCAGATTTTAGGCCAATTAGCCTTTTGAATAGCTCCTGTAAAATTTTCTCTAAAATCTTGGCTAATAGGCTCTGTGGTGTTCTACATTTACTTATAGACCAATCACAATCCGCCTTCCAGAAAGGAAAGTCCTCCCTTGATTCTATCTTGCTAGCTCAGGAGATGATAAATTTTTGCTCCTCTGGTAAGAAAGAAATTTGTGCTTTTAAAGTTGATTTTTTTCAAAGCCTTTGATTGTGTCAATTGGAGTTTTCTTCTGTCTCTTCTTAAAGCCAGAGGTTTCAGTAATAGATGGTGCAGCTGGATACATCATATTCTTTCTTCATCTAAATCAGCAGTTTTAGTCAATGGCTCTCCTACAAAATTTTTCCATTGTCATAGAGGTCTTAAGCAAGGAGACCCTCTCTCCCCTTTGCTTTTTCTTTTGGTTGCTGATGTTCTTAAAAAAATGATCTCTTATAGTGCTTCTGCTGGTGATTTATCCGATCTTAAGCTGAAAGGGGAATTGAACAATATTAGGATGCTGCAGTTTGCTGATGATACTATAGTCTTCTCTAGAGCATCTTCAGAGGATATGAACACTTTAAAAGCCATTCTTCTCATTTTTGCAAACATATCAGGCCTGAGAGTGAATTCCAATAAATCCTATCTCTATTACCTCGGCAGATTTCCTGGCAGAAAGCATCTCTTAGCTAGAGCTCTCAGTTGTTCAGTGGGATCTCTTCCCTTCTCTTATCTGGGTTTACCCCTTAAGAAGGGTTCCCTTTCTAGAAGAGAATGGCAGCCTTTACTAGATTCTTTTTCTAAAAAACTGTCTCTTTGGAAAAATAAAAATCTCTCCATTGGAGGGCGTCTCACCTTGGTTAATTCAGTTTTATCATCAATCCCTCTCTATTATACCTCTTTCTTCAAACTGCCGAAATGGTTGATTCATGAGATTGACAAGTTAAGAAGGAACTTCCTTTGGAATGGTAATACCAATGCATCCAAAGCCAAATGCCTGGTGGCATGGAAGACTGTATGTTTACCTAAAAAGGAGGGGGGGCTTGGTGTTATCGATCTGACAGTCTTTAATCAAGCCCTCCTTTCAAAATGGATTTGGAAAATTTTTGATAGGGATTCTATTATTTCCAAAGTGATATTTTCCTTATACTCCAAAGAAGATTCAAATCCTGTTGTGCGGCACCCCAAGATTCAAGCTTCTAAACTTCTCAAATACCTCTTTTCCATTCACCCAGCTTTCTTCAGTTTTGTGAGATGGAAAGTGGGTAATGGCAGATCATGCAGATTTTGGCTAGATAAATGGTCTAGTCCTAATTCTTTAGGCAGCCTTTTCCCAAAGGCTTTTAACCTGGCTTTTTCAAAAGATTGTAATTTAAGATCTCAAGGATATATGCTAAATCATGTATGGCATTGGCATTTTACCCTCAGAAGAGGTATCAGCCCAGAAGAGAGACAGGAAATTCAGAAGCTCTATTCTCACCTTGAGTCCTTCTCTGGTTCTTTCACCCTTTCTCCTGACAGTCTATGGTGGCCTCTTCAATCATCAGGTATTTTCACAGTGAAATCCTTCTATTCTGCTCTCATCTCGGGAGGTAGCAAGTCAAGGTTCTGTAATTTCATCTGGAAATCTTCTATACCTCTGAAAGTTAAAATTTTCTTTTGGTTGGTCAGTAAACAGAAGCTTAATACTAAAGCTCTTTTGGTTACTAAGGGTTGGATTGGGGGACCCTAGATGTCCTTTTTGTGGTCTTGTTGTCGAAGAGCAGGATCATTTGTTTATTTCTTGCTCTTTTGCTTCATCCATCTGGCTGACTCTTTTCCCAGGTTTTAATGTAGCTTTGTGGCCTACTTCCATGGATAGCCTGATTACCCCTACTGCTCCGCCCCTAAATGACAGGGATATTGGCATTATCTGGAATACGGTGCTCCCTTGCTGTTGCTGGTGTATTTGGAACTGTCGTAACCAACTTATCTTTAAAGATATCATGTCTAATCCAGAGAATATAGCTGCTAACGTTGCCAGATATACTCTTTTATGGGCAGGTTCCAAGGATGACAGACTTACAAGAAGGATCCGCAGAGCTGCTCTCAAGTTACAAATCCAAGAAATTGCGAAGAAAAAAGCAGGTGCTGATATGGATGAAAACTTCCTGGTTGATTAAGATGTCGCCTGGGGCAATCGGGGTGTGCAGCTGTTTTTTTTCAGAAGGTTCCCTCTCATCAACAGGCGTTGGTAAAGTTGAGGAATGCAAGCTCTCTTTTGGTGGCACTGGTTTCCTCTTCTCCTTCTTTTGTGGGATTTTTAAACCTTTATGTTCTTTTTGACGCCTTTGTGCTTTTATGGGCGGTAGATTGTTTTCAGCCAGTGATTAGTTTGCTTTTGTTTTTCTGGGGGGTTCTCCCTACTGTGAGGTAGGTACAAGGGGGAAGAGTCATGATAGGTGACGACAAGGTCCGCTCCCTATCGACTCCTTTCTTCTTGTTCCTCCAAACCCAGTATTTTTTTGTAAGTTTTGTAAGTTTGTACATGTTTAGACTTCTTCTTTAGTACATATATGAATATATTTTGAGCAGGGAAATTTATTCTCTGCTTTTCAGCTCAAAAAAAAATATTATATATACATATATTATACATATATAATACATATAAAAAATAAAAAAATAAAAATAAAATAAAAAAAACTATTCCGGGCCGGGCCGGGCCCAGGCCGGGCACCAAAAAGGCGGCCCGGGCCGGGCTCCGGGCCGGGCCGGGCTCCGGGCCGGGCCCGGACCGACGGGCTTTTTGGACACCCCTAATGATGTCGCGTTATCATAAATCCAAGTAAGTGAGGTCATCTTCATAACAAATAATAAGAGGCGTGATTGACATGTTTCTAGGGTAATTTTCACAAACCCTCCTTTGAGTTTGGCCGATTTTAAGATAAACCCCGTAAACTTTGAAAATATCACGTAGACCCCTTAAGTATATTTAGAAACTTTCTAGATGTTCTCAAATTTTCAGCTAACCTCGTAATGGTGTTAGATAAACCGAAAATATAAAGATTTGGTATCCTTTCTCCAATTCTCCAACATTATGATATCCCTTCCCTCGCTCAAAGCATACCCCGGTGTATTCCTCGAATTTTTGTTAGATCGGTAAAAGGTATTAATAATGTCATGTATACCCTTTTGCTGTTAATAATATTGTTAAGCACGTCAATCCTACTCTAATTCTATCTTAAGATAGAAATCTGATAGTAACGATTAATTTAGCAGAAATTAAGAGTTAACTAAGGATTAAAATATTCTAAAAATAACAACTGAGTGTCACATGAGAATTTTGAGGGCGATATCCTCACATTTGCATTGGATTGGACATTTAAGGCACCAAAGTGCAAGTTTTAGAAACTTTTAATTAATTAAGTATAGGGTTTTAAGCTTAGGTTATTTTGGTGCAATGTCGAGCAAACTTTTAAGTATTTAAGTGTAATTTATCCTAAAAATAAAACTTAAATGTATATAAAATGACAAAATCATTTAATATAAGCGAACGAGTACCCAAATAAACCGCCCATCTCACATCAAATCATTACCTTAACCTACATGCTTTGCAAAGGAAGTAGTGGACCATAATCCTAATTCAATCATTGATCAATTTCCAAAGCCCAGGAGAGCTACAGTACCTCCTTCACAAATCACATGGCGCCCATATTCCTCTACAGTGCTCTCTAATTTGTTTAATTAATCAAATAATTAGCTATATGCCCACATTCTATTAATTAATTTTTATTATTATTAGAATAAATGATCCGGACTAAAGCCATGTGGTTGTACATGTGGGGTTTGTGGATGAATAGTTGCATGAACTTGCAGTTGGTGGCCGCATCTTCATCATGCCATTTCTATGGCTCCCTCTTTTAATATGTTAACTAATATATTGTCACGTCCAGGGCCCACGCTTTTTCTCTATTTAAACCACTAACATTTCTTCACGTTAGTCCACGTGGGACTAAAGTGAGGGTTTCACAATCACCCCACCTTACAAAGACGACGTCATCGTCGTCATGACATGACAATTGGCACATCCCAGTACCACTTGTCAGGCGATGTGGATTTTAGAGGTGGCTCCCACCGCATCATGCGGTGTAGCACTTAGCTCCACACTTCCGACCGGCAATTGTTCCGATACCATTTGTCACACCCGCGGGCCCACGTCTTTTCTCTATTTAAACATCTAACATTTCTTCACGCTAGTCTATGTGGGACTAAAGTGAGGGTGCCACGTATGTAGTTTTGCCTTGTTTTTTAGTGTATTATCGGTTATCACTTTAGATTTAACATTAATTTTGCACGTATGTAATTCTAGGACTATACTATTTGCACAGTTTGAAATACAAGAAGTATAAGCTGTTGTCTTATTTTATTTTACAGGCTCCATAGTTTCTATGGGTTTATATGAATCTTTGAAATATAGGAATTCACTTTAGTATTGTTGGAAGCTTATTCATGAAAAGGCAATTTTGCCTTTGTGAATAGTCCCACATCGGAAAATGAGATG